TGTTGCCTGGGTGTGTTTGTATTGGTTTGTGTTTAGCTTAGTCCCCGGGGAGTGTGAGTGCCTGTTTACCCCTTTTAGGTGCTAGGTGGCTCTAGCAGTAAAGGAAAAAGGGGAGGGGACATGGTGGAAGTCTGTGTGGACTCACTACTTTCTCAGGTCCGGGGTGTCACTTTGAGGGCCTGGCTAGCCTCATTGTGCACGTTACTCTGCTTGCAGAGGGTGAGACACTTCAGCCTCGAGCGCTGACGCTGGTAGTGTTCTGTTAACCTCTCAGTGCCCGCGGATACGGACACTGTTAGGTTGTGGTGGGATTGGATTCGGGCAGGCATTGCTGTTTCCATCACCGTGCGGTAGTGAGACTTGCGGGTGGGTCCGCAACAGGGACACTACGAGGTTGAGGGAGGTGGCTGCGGCCACACGAGTAAAGGAAAGGAATTACTGTGATTTTATTTGAACTGTGATGCATGCACTGTATTTTATTTTGTCTTAATTGTCTGTCACACAGATTCCTGTGCTTAATCTTATCTTACTCTCTGTGTTATTTACACTTTCCCCTCTTATTTCTCTTTGTTGAGAGAAGTGATTGGTCACACACTTCTCGCCACGCTCCAATCCGCGGCTACCTCGGGTAGGCGGAATTAGTGACTAGTCTACGTTTTGGGAAGACGTACGTAGGAACCCACTCTTACGTAGCAGTCGAGCACTGTAGACCTTCTTTTCTCTCTTTCTCTATATCTGGGACGCCTTATATAGGGAGGATGGGACAGAAGTTAGATAAACCCAGTAAGGGTTGGTTAGCATGTGATTTAGTAGAAGACAGAGAAGGAGAAGAGGTGGTTAAGAAAGTGAGGAAGATTGCTAAAGTATGTGGAATTACCGTACCTCCGTGCGGCAGATTGCAGCCAGAGAGCTGGCGTAAGTTACTGACAGAGAAGAAAGGGAAGCTGTCGGACCACGATTTGGTTCGTACAGCAGAAGCCTGGTACCGAGTAGCAAGAGCTATTCAGCAAGAGGGATGGGTTGAGGAAGAAATTGATCATAAAGGTTTAAGATTGTTTGTGTATTATAATAATTGTGTTACTGGGAAGTTCTCCCAGCCAGCGCCCTATGATGGCGCCCAGGAGGTGACCACTCCCAACATCACGTCAGCAATTACCGAAATGCAGCTGACCATGGTCCCCACCCCACCACCGCCCCTGTTTACCCAGTCCTGAATGCTGATGGATCCTTATTCTCCCCCCCATCAGTCCTACAGATCTCGTCACCCTCATCCTCTCTCACACCACCCTCCCTCTCCAGTCCGTTTCTCCCGTCCGCTCTTCCTCCCTTCCGCCCCTCCCCTACCTGCCCACTACTCCTCCTACTCCTCCTACTAATCCCTCCCCTCCGTCTGTCCCCCCCCACTGCTCCGTCTTCTTCCCCTCCCTCATCTCCTGCCCTTCCTACTCCACCTTCTCCTCCTCCTACCCCTCCCGTCCCTCCTACTCCACCTTCTCCTCCTCCCACTCCAACTGCTACTCATTCTTCCATTTCCCCACCACTATACCTATATCCTTTATATCCTTCCTCCCTTCCTAATCCATACCCATCTCCTCCGCCCTACCCGTGCTCCGCCCTAGCATCTGCCCAAATGGCCTGGCCATTCCCCTACCCTTATCCCGCAACTCCGCCCTATTCCGCCACTTCCTACGTACCTTCCATAGCCACACTCCCGTCCCCGATCACGCCTACCCTGCCTCAACCTGCTCAAGTTGTGCCCACATCCAACATGGCCGCCACTTCCTCCCTTAACCCCAACGCCACTTCCTCCCTTAACCCCAACGCCACTTCCTTCCACGCCTCCAATATGGCAGCCCCCAGTGGTGAGGCACCTCTAATGCCAGTCCTTCCAAATGATTTGTTACCACCAGCGAATACCACACCATTAGCTCCGGCAGGCGGAGTGCCCATTCTACCCCCGGCCCTGACACCTCAGGTAGCTACAAATCCTACAGGGGTCCGAGTGTCACCATCCCAGAATGAATTCGATTCAGTCAGCTCTCATGGTTATCAAATCCCACCGGACTCCAGAAACACATCGCCCCGCCTGCCCCGGTGCTCTATCAATGACCCTTTTGGTCGCCGGATTCAGGGAGAGAAGGCTCCTGTAATGTATGTCTCCTTCAATCCCACTCAGGCCTCTGCTCTAATGAAATCACTCCCTGACCCCGAAAAACAGCCCATGCCCTTCTATAGAGGGGTAGTTCAAATTCAACAGACCTATTCCGCCGCATGGCGTGATTTGTTAAGCATCTGTGCCATAAAGGCTGGAGATGCTTATTGGCCTAGCATTGCCCGCCACCTCTGCAACAACTGGCTCACTAGTGATACTGACTATGCATCGGGGATTGAATTCTGTGCCCAGCTGAAGGACTGGGCTAAGGATAAGCTCGCAGACTTAGCAGCTGGCCTCAACGATGTTGTTCAGGAAAAAGGTGAATCTGTGGAGAGGTTCCATGCTAGACTTTTCCAAGTATTCTCAGACCTGGGATGATCTCAGCAACAAAATTCACTCCCAGATGCTTTCTGGTGCCTTTGTCCTAGGCATCAAAGACTCTATACGCAAGGGTATTATTGCTGCTCGCCCTGAATATAGGGTGGTTCCCCTGGATAAGTTACTCTTAGTTGCCAGAGGACTAGAATCAGCACAGAATCCTAGAAAGTTCAATTCAACTCCTATTATGGTGTCACGCCCAGTCCCAAGAGGCACCAGGCCCGCTGATGGAATCTGTTTTAATTGTGGGGAAAAGGGCCATTTCAGGAGTGATTGCCCCGAGCCCCGGAGATACCGAAAATCATATCATATACCCAGGACATACTTGAAAACGAGAGAAATCTCAATGTATCTTTCCTGGTAAAATATTTTATAAATAAATAAATATACAGACGAGGAGGTGCCTAAACCCACACCAATAACAAAGGCTCCAAAACCTCCCTTGCCCGATTCAGTCCAAGAAGATTAGGAAATTGGCAAGCCTGTGTCATTAACCCCTGTCATGGCAGTATCTTCAGGGGAACAAGGGGGGCCACTAGCCACTGTAACTTTACCTATTGAAGGTCACCCTACCACATTCCTTGTTGACACAGGTGCAGCCCGAAGAGAACAAGACCTGCCTGATTCTTCATTCCTTTCCAATATTGACGTCTCCTGTGTAGGTGTAGATGGCCTCCCGAGACATAGTCCTTTAACTACTCCTTTACGGGTTGGCAACTGTCCCAATCTGCTTGCCCGATTTGTGGTGTCTTCAACATGTCCTATTAACCTATTAGGTGCTGATGTCCTTTCCCGCCTACAGGCATCTATCACCTTCACTCCGGACGGCCAGGTGGAACTATCTACTCCCCTGTCCGAATCAGACACCTCAGCCTTGTGTTCCCTGCCTTTGATGCTTCATCTAGAAAAACCCCATGGGAATGCAAAGGCCCTGAGGGACAACTTTCCAGAAATTCTAATGACAAGTGTCCCCAAGAAACTGTGGTCTTCAGGCCCAGAGGACATAGGTCATCTAAAGGTCCCACCTGTGATGGTAAAGCTAATTCCAGGAGCAAAATTACAGAGAAAGTCTCAATATCCGTTGAAACCAGCACAAGCTGTGGCCATCACGGAACAAGTACAAGCACTACTGGCTAAAGGTGCTCTTGTCAAGTGCGAATCACCATGCAACACCCCATTGTTCCCTGTGAAGAAGAGGACACCTAAGGGTGAACCTGACAAGTACAGGATGGTCCAGGATCTTTGGACTGTCAATGAGGCCACAGTTTTGGACACCCCAATTGTGCCTAACCCACACACCCTTCTCTCTGGTGTTCCACCTTCTGCCACATACTTCACAGTTATTGATCTGGCCAATGCCTTTTTCAGTGTCCCTCTGGACCCCACCTGTCAGTACCTGTTTGCCTTCACGCATGAGAAACAACAATACACGTGGACTGTTATGCCCCAGGGAGCACAAAATTCACCAAGTCAGTTTGCAAAGGCAATGTCTTCCATCCTTGATCCATGGCAATCTGACCACCCCGAGGTTGTCCTGCTCCAATATGTTGATGACCTGCTCCTTTGTGGAGATGACATCCCCACGACAGAAAAATGTTCTCTGGACCTCCTTTGTTATCTTGCAGATCACGGGTGTAAGGCATCTCTTGTCAAACTTCAATTGCAATTCAACTGCAATTTTGCCAGGCCACAGTAATCTTTCTAGGCCATTGCCTGTCCCATGGCACTAGACACCTCACCCGTGATCGTGTCGGAGCGGTTTTGGCCATTCCGCCTCCAAAAACTCCAAAATCCCTCCACGCCTTTCTAGGCCTCATTTCTTACTGCCGAGCATGGATCCCAGAGGCCTCTCTACTCATGCAACCTTTGTACGATGCTCTTAAATCAGACCCGTTCTGTCTGTCCTCAGAAGCACATGACAACTTCTACACTCTCCAACGTGCTATTGCCTCTGCTCCCGCCCTTGGCTTGCCAGACTACACCAAACCATTCAAATTATTTGTGTCTGAAAGACAAGGCCACGCTACAGGAGTCCTTACTCAAGCCCATGGACCTGGCGGCCGCCAAAGGCCTATTGGCTTCTTCTCTTGCCAACTAGACATTGTGGCTAGAGGAACCCCCTCTTGCCTCCGAGCTGTTTTTGCCGCTCAGGAACTCATAAACCGCACTGGGGACCTGGTTCTTGGCCACCCTCTGACTGTTTTGGCACCTCATGATATTTCTGCCATACTTAACCAGGTCCAACTCAAACATGTCACCCCTGCCAGGCACCTTCGTCTCCAATGTCATCTCCTGTTACCTGAAAATGTTACCCTTCAAAGATGTCAGGTTCTGAATCCGTCCACTCTTCTGCCACTCCCTGAGGGGGGTAGCTACTATGGATTTATCATGGATGAAGGCTATGTCCTACTTCTAACCCACACTATTAAAACAATGCACCTCAATTTACCCTTCTGTGATGGGCCAGAATATGCCTTCTGCACCATGTGGTACAAGCCAACCATCAACCCTGACCCTCATTATGAAGATGAACTTTATCAATTAGTTGAGGTAAAACTCATTCTACAAGATTTTTACTGCGATACTGAAAGCAACAGTGTGATTTTGGTTCAACTACCACTTGGACTTGAACATCTATATCACCATTGGGACACAGCCATTCCACATGTCCCTGTTACCAAATCAAAGATAAAGTCATGGGGTGTAAAAGCATGGCCACGGTACTTTCTGGAAGAAGAATTTGAAGATCTGGTCATAAAGCACAACTATGATCCAGAAACGCCCCATAACTGTTTTGAACAGATGAAAATGGAAACAACACATTTGCCAACCGTGTATGAGGATCCACTAATAGATCCTGACCTCACCCTGTTTGTGGACGGCTCAAGGTATGCTGATGAAGAAGGAAAATATCACACAGGATATGCCGTCACCACAACAGATGAAATTATCAAGTCATCATCTCTACCATCAACAATGTCTGCGCAGGAAGCTGAATTACAAGCCCTAACTTCAGCATGCAAGATATCTGAAGGAAAGCGCGCCAATATCTACACAGATTCAAGATACGCACTGGGCGTGGCTCATGACTTCGGATTAATTTGGAAAACAAGAGGATTTCTTACCACTGCCGGTACACCAGTCAAGCACAGTTCTGCAATCAAGGAGCTGATGGATGCCCTCCTACTCCCAGAAGAAGTGGCCATTCTGAAGGTAAAGGCACATGGGAAGTTGGATTCGGATGAAGCAAGGGGCAACCATCTGGCTGATCAAGCTGCAAAACAAGCTGCAAGAGAACGGAATGGTTATGGAACGGTTATGGTTTTCCTTTGGAGATAGAAAATTGCTTCCTCAGTCTTTTTGCCTACCGCTATAATTTCAACAGATCCCTCTGCGAAGCATGGACGGCAGAGTACCCCCTCTTAATTGGAAATGTCAACCCCCCAGATGGAATCACGATTTACAAGGGTAATTACACTTGTTATGCTAACTATGACGGGATTGGTAAATTCATGGGTAACTTTTCCAATGGCTATTGTGCCACCTACAGAACTGTTCCTATACGCCTGTTGCAACACCATACCAGGTCATTGGGGGATATTTACTGGTTATGTGGGGATCTACAGTTAAGATCTAGGCTGGAAACTGAGTGGTGGGGTGAGTGTACCCTGGCCAAAGTTATCATGCCCATTCATATTATTTCTGATAATCATCATGACACATACGACCCTCCACATACACCAGCCAGAGTGAAGCGCGAAACCCCAGTAAAAGGCAGTTTTGACCCCCACATTTACATAGATGCCGTTGGGGTACCTAGGGGGGTGCCTAATGAATTTAAAGCTAGAGATGAAGTCGCTGTAGGTTTTGAATCACTTTTTACCATAGTCACTGCCAACAAAAACCTTAATTGGATTAACTACATTTACTACAACCAACAGCGTTTCGTCAACTACACCAGGGATGCCCGAGCAGTTGCAGGCCACATCCCAGATGACCTTCCAGAACAGAATGGCCTTAGACATGATTCTAGCTGAAAAGGGGGGTGTATGTAAAATACTACCTGACACCATGACTTGTTGCACTTATATCCCAGAAAACACAGCTCCAAATGGTAAAGTCACTATGGCCATAGCGAAGTTAGAGAAACTCTCAGAAGAGTTGAAGAGGAATTCTGGGGTAACAGATCCCTGGGAAAGGTGGTTTGGTTGGATGTCAGGTTGGCAGAAAGCTTTAGTCCATATTGGTTTGGCTCTACTAATTTTCCTTTTTGTTCTCGCTCTTCTCGTTTGTTGTGTCCTCCCATGCCTTAGAAAATTCTTACAGAAGACTACAGACCAAGCGACACTAACTTTCACTCATCTGACAATCGATGATCAAGATCTCACCTCACCCTGTATTCCACTACAAACTCTCCCTTATACTGATAAAGTGCAGATGTTCTAGGAAGGGAACCAGCGCAGGGACAGCGTCCGTCTGTATGGGTTAGTCTGTTGTGGGAGATGTGGTGGACTAGCCGCTGCGGGTTACCCACGGAGTGAAGTGTTCGAGGGCCATACTGACGGATGAGCTGCAGCCTGTTAGGGTCAGATAGGGGTAGACATGCACTTTGCAATAACACCAAGCTAGCGACCATAGGGTTTCTGTGTCTTTGGGCTAACAAGTCTTCTGGTATTAACAAATAAAGTTTATCTTTTAGTAACTAACATTTTAAGGGGGGACTGTTGTAGAATTATAGAATTCTTGAAATTATCTAAGCTAATACTTTGGCAGGAAGAAATGTGCATCAGCAGAACAATGAGTTTCTGTTGAATGAAATATTGTAGCAACTGAGCCACATGTTGGTCTTAATAAAGTACGTGTCAGCTGAATAATAAAATGTGTATTTACTAAAAGAACCTTGAAACTAACAATACCAACTACTCAAAATGGCTGCCAAAGCACCCCTCCCATCGAGTGAACACCTCGTGCTTGTGTCCACTCCCGTGTCAAGGATGACACCACCTCTTGATGGGAGGGCATCTAACTAACCACTTAACACCTGAACCAATTAATAATGTTTATTTGTTGTTATCTTGAATTCTTCAGTGATGTAAAAATGCTTTTATAAGGGTCTGCGCACCCATTTTCTTTTAGAAGCCATTAAACTTTTCCGAAGTTCTTTCATTAACCTGAACCCTGTGTCTCAGTGTGAATTTACTTCTGCGTGCACGCAACTTTATTATCTTTAATTTGGACAGGAACAGATAGTCATTCAAACTTATTGGTTTGCAGAAAATAATCTACTACAAAGGTAAGTGTCAAGGAGGGTGGAATAATCTAATGGTTTGTTTTTTCTACAGCCCCTTTCCCCCAATTGCAGCTCATATGCCGTACTACAGTCCCCCAAACTCCCTACCATAACCGCGAAATCCCAGATTGCAGCCCCTAACTCCATACTATGGTTTCTAGCTTCCAATTGGAGCCTCCTATGCCCTGCTACAGCCCCTAACTCACCACTACAGCTCATAAATTATTAATGCAGACCCTAAGCCCCCAACTATAGCCTTATTAACAAAATAGCAGCCCCTATCTCTACTGCGGCTCTCAACCCATCTACTACAGTCCCTTATTCCCACTGCAGTTTTTACCCTCAAATGTTGCACCTAGTCTCCACTACAGTCCCTACTCTCTAAATGTTGCTGCTATACCACACTACGGTCCCTAACCCCAAATGTACCTCCTATCCCCCCCCAATTACAACCCATATCCCCCCTGCTAGAGACATTAACTGCCCCATTACAGACCCTATCCTCTCTACTACAGCCCCTAACTCAGTTCAGACCTCATACAGCAGCCCCTATCCCTACGACTGTCTCAACCCTCCACTACAGTTCTTTACCCTCACTGCAGCCCCTACCCACAAATATAGCCCCATTTTCTAACGCCCGATTGCATACCATACAGCCAAAATTATTATTGCACCCAGGCATCAGTGACACTAGGAGCGGCCTTGCATACATAACAGAGTTTTAGTCACCCCGCTTCCTTACCTTTTGGTTATAAGATAGTGGCTTCTCTGGTCAAGTGGGACTTAGCTAACCAAGGCTGATGGAAGTCTGAGGTTTACAACTTGGCTCCAGTGTATGTGTGTGTGTGTGCCTCTGAACCCCCAACACGGCTCATAGCAAGTTGGGAGGAAGTGACCGGAGCTCACTTCCTCCCAGCAGACTCTATTAAAGGGCTGCAATGCCCCTGATCTAAGAAACCTCCCATAGGCCAAATTTGTGGGCTCTGCAGGCTGTATGCAGCCAGCATGTTTAACAGCCACACTCATTAACCCTTAACAGGACACACATTGGGTGGGCAGCGGAAATAACATTGCTGTGGCAGGATATTTAAAGGTTTTCTTGAACAATGTTGGATGACGTAGCAAGTAACTTTTGCAAAAACATTTTTACACTGTTAGGAAAGCGTTTTATAATAGTCATGTTTTGAGTAGGAAAAAAAAACACAAATCAGATTTTAATAATAAACAATATTTATTATTATGCTTAAAGGGTAAATATAATGTACACAAAACAGGTGTAATTTTAGGTTTTTTTTTCTACTTTTAGCACAGTAATTATGTGATATGTATGAAAAAACACTCCAAGCACCATAACAGATATCACAACATGCCAAAACTCATTTTAGGGAGGCAGCTTCACAAGCTACTTGGTAGGCGGACTTTACAGATGTAGTGAGAGAGAAACACAGCGTGCGTCCTGATTGGTCTCTCAGGATGCACACTGTGACATCCTCTCACTACATCTGTCACTGTTTCTCCAGTGCTTACCTGGAGTGGCTGACGTGGCAGGGACGAACCCAGAACCTTATCTCGGGAGGGGCACTGGTAGTGGGCTGTAGTAGGGAAATGAAGGCTGTAATTTAGGAGTTAGGGGCTCTAATGGAGGTACAGGGGCTGTAGTGTTGGGTATGAGTTATAAATAGGGGGTTAGGAAGTGTAGTGTGGGATAAGGACTGTATTAGGAGGGTTGGGGGCTGCTGCAATTAGGGAAAGGGGATGTAGTGTGAGTGTGGGTATGGGGCCAGGAGTGATCTGGTGCTTCCCTCCCCAGTGCAAGTAGTTAAACTGTTTGGTAAATGGTTTGACTTCTTATTCAGGGTCCGCCAGTCGCTGATCCCTGCCTCTTCTGGAGCTGGAAGCTTTTGTCCTGAGCTGAAACATCTACCCCTGCACTGCAGGGCTAGCAGCAGACAGCTAACTGGAGCTCCTAGCAGAAGCTCCCGCACTCAGCACCAGAGGAGAGAGTCAGGGAGTGGTGCCTGACAGATCCTAGGTAAGAAGTCAAACCATCACCAAACTGTTTGCTTACATTGAGGGGGTGCCAGGGCACTCCTGGTACAATAACCACTACAATGTGCTAGGAATATTTATTTATGTATTTGTACATTTTAGAGGTTTTTAACCCCTTAAGGACCGAGGACGGTTCATTTTTACATTGCCGACCGCTGACGGTCCTGAACCGTCCTAACGGTAAGATGTACTCACCCGGGCACCGTCGTTCCCCCAGCGGTGATCGGCGTTGCTCCCGGTGTGGGGAGACTGCCTACAGCCCAGACAGAGTCTCCCCATGGCGGATTAGAATTTAGTTTGCTAGCACTGTATTTTACCCTGTAACGTTCTATGACACCCTAAAACCTGTACATGGGGGGTACTGTTGTACTCGGGAGAGTTTGCTGAACACAAATATTAGTGATTCAAAACAGTAAAACATATCATAGCGATGATTGTCAGTGAAAGTGACTTTTTTGCATTTTTCACACACAAACAGCACTTTTACTGATGTTATAATTGTTGTGATACGTTTTCCAGTTTTGAAACACTAATATTTGTGTTCAGCAAAGTCTCCTGAGTGTAACAGTACCCCCCCATGTACAGGTTTTATAGCGTTTTTGAAAGTTACAGGGTCAAATATATGGGTCAAATATTTTTTCATTGAAAATGGCCAGGTTGATAACGTTGCCTTTGAGAGCGTATGGTAGCCCAGGAATGATAATTACCCCCATGATGGCATACTATTTGCAAAAGAAGACAACCCAAGGTATTGCAAATGGGGTATGTCCAGTCTTTTTTTTAGTAACCACTTAGTCACAAACACTGGCCAAAATTAGCGTTCAATTTAGTTTTTTACTTTTTTCACACACAAACAAATATGAACGATAACTTTGGCCAGTGTTTGTGACTAAGTGGCTACTAAAAAAGTCTGGACATACCCCATATTGAATACCCTGGGTTGTCTACTTTTAAAAAAATGTACATATGGGGTATTATTCAGAGATTTATGACTTATCAATAGTGACATTGTAACACTACTATCTATTTTAAAAATGTATGTTTTGAAACCGCAATATCCTACTTTTACTTCTAGCTCTATAACATGCTAAAAAATAGCAAAAAGGCATGTAAATACTGGGTATTTTTAAACTCAGGAAAATAAATTTGAATCTATTTAGCAGTTTTTTTCATTCGCTTTTGTAGAAGAGTAAAAGATTTTTCAAGTAAAAGTCAAAAAACATTTTTTTTAATTTATCATTTTTAAATTTTTTACAAATGAAATTACATGAGATTATATAAATAATGGTATGTAATGAAAGCCCCTTTTGTCCTGAAAAAAAATATATAATTTGTATGGGAACAGTAAATGAGAGAGTGGAAAAAGAGTATCTTTTCCTGGCACTATAGTGGTCCTTTAAACTTCTTTAGTTAATTGTTTCTTATTTCAGAAAAATGCAGCTTACTTACTCTGCAGAATATCTGGGATGTTCTCCATCATACCATAACCCAATAGCGATCTTCTGATTACTTGTTAATATGTCTATGATCATATCTGTGAATATCACTGCGCAACAAAAATGAAAAAAAAAAAAAAAAAAAAGGGGCGAGAGAAGGAACAGGAGATAACAGGGGATATATTGTAGCAAAAAGACACCGCAGGGATTTGAACCCCGTCCTGAGATTCAGGAGTGCCACCACCGGTATCTTTTGCTTTTTTTTTTTGTTTGTTTTGTTTTGTGAACATTAACAGGAGAAAAGCAAAACCTGGAAGAACAAGCATGTTCTTCCAGTAAAAGAAAACCTTTTCGTTGATGCTACAGAAGAGCAGTGATCTTATCTTTTCTTCTAATCTTTTGTCCTGACTTGACTGACTTCCAGAGATGAGACCTGGAAGAGTCGAAAACAGATTTTCCCTCCCCATGTTAGATAAACACCCTAAACAGCTTAAAATACATAGTAAAAACAAAGAGAACGTTACCTGCGCTCTGGCCTAAATCCCCACGTGCCTTGATGTGGCAGGTGAGCTTATATATTCAAATGGCCATTGGAATAAAACTAAAGGGCCTCCATTTTGTTTAAATGCACATGGGGATTTAGGCCAGAGCGCAGGTAACTGCTGTGAGCGCGGTGCTTTATCTTTGTGTTTGTATATGAATTTTGTATCACACAGCTATGTTCCATTGCTGCCAGCCTCCCCATGTTTGTCTTATTAAGAGTTTATAAGTATGTAGGGGCAGCACCCATTCCTGTCTCATCAGAGAAATTTGCCTTTTAGCTGATACCAGCAAGGTGATTTGTATGTGTTTATAGCCCTATTCAGGGTTAAGTATGTAGGGGTTTATAAAACACCCCTTCATGTCTCATTAGAGATGTTTACACTTTGTCTGATACCAGCAAAGTTTATTATATGTGTAGAAGTCCTATAAAGGGTTAAATGTGAAAGGGTTTATAAAATACCCCTTCCTGTCTTACTGGAGATTCTTGGCTGATAGCATATCTAATGGCTAGTGTAGGACTCACCTATTGAGGCTTGCCTTGACGTGGCAGGTGAGCTTATATATTCAAATGGCCACAGTGGTGTCGCTAGGGGGGGGCCATAGGGGGCCATGGCCCCCCTACAGCATGCTGTACCGCCCTTGGGCCCCCCCAAATGCCGGCAACTTGCTGGCCATGTTCTTCCCTCGGACTGTAACAGCTTGTGACAGCCGGGGAGGGAATGAGGTGCTGGGGGCTGTCTGTGACTGGAGGGAGCACTGACAGGCCCCGCCCCCAAACGAAGCCCCACCTCCTGCACATAAGCCCCGCTGTAAAGCAGCAGACCATGCTGCTGCAGAAGATGGCTGCCTGACCCCCAGCAACAGCCTCCAGTGACAGGTAGGCTGTCACTGCCCCCCATACACACACACACTGCCCCCCATACAGCCCCCCATACACACATACTGCCTCCTCATACTGCTCCCCATACACACACACTGCCCCCCCATACACACACACAAACTGCACACACATACACTACTCCCCATACACTGCCCACATTCACACACACACTGCAACTGTTACACACACATACTGTCCCACATATACACTGCCGCCCTCACTCACACACTACAACCTTCAAACACTGTCCCACACACACACACACACTGCACCCCTTACACATTGCACCACTCACACACCACTGCTCCCATGACCTACTACAGCCCCATTTCCCAGCAGACCTCAGGTAAGTTGTCAAACTGTTCTTTAACGGTTTGACTACTTACTCTGGGAGGGGGTCCCGGCACTATTGACACCATAACCACTACACTGAACTGTAGTGGTTATTGTGTCTGGGTTATTTCTTTAAATAATCTACAAGTGCCCCTCCCGATATCAGGCTCTGGATCCGCCACTGCTCAGCAGTCTGTGTGTGTGTGTATGGACTCGGCAGTCTGTGTGTGTGCGCATGTATATGTGTGCATGGACTCGGCAGTCTGTGTGTGTGCATGGACTCGGCAGTCTGTGTGTGTGCATGGACTCGGCAGTCTGTGTGTGTGTTAACTTTAGCTTAATGAAATGGTCTGGGTGCCAGGTTTAACCCTTTTTTTTTTTTATATAAACATAGATATAATAGGGTTAATCCAGCCTCTAGTGGCTGTCTCATTGACAGCCGCGAGAGGGCTTCCGCGCTTCTCACTGTGATTTTCACAGTGAGAAGACGCCAGCGTCCATAAGAAAGCATTGTGAATGCTTTTCTATGGACTGGCTGAATGGCGCGCGGCTCCGGCCGCGCATACGCATTCAGCAGAGGAGGAGAGTCCCCTGCCCGACGCTGGAGAAAGAGGTAAGTTTAACCCCTTCCTCCCCCCAGAGCCCGATGGTTGGGGTCCCTGAGGGTGGGGGCACCCTCAGGGCACTATAGTGGTCCTTTAAGCTTCTTTAGTTAATTGTTTCTTATTTCAGAAATCTGCAGCTTACTTTGCATAATATCTGGGATGTTCTCCATCATACCATAACCCAATAGCGATCTTTTGATTACTTGTTAATATGTCTATGATCATATCTGAATATCACTGCGCAACAAAAATGAACAAAAAAAAGAGAGAGAAAGAACAGGAGATAACAGGGGATATATTGTAGCAAAAAGACACCGCAGGGATTTGAACCCCGTCCTGAGATTCAGGAGTGCCACCACCGGTATCTTTTGCTTTTTTTTGTTTTGTTTTGTGAACATTAACAGGAGAAAAGCAAAACCTGGAAGAACAAGCATGTTCTTCCAGTAAAAGAAAACCTTTTCGTTGACGCTACAGAAGAGCAGTGATCTTATCTTTTCTTCTAATCTTTTGTCCTGACTTGACTGACTTCGAGAGATGAGACCTGGAAGAGTCGAAAACAGATTTTCCCTCCCCATGTTAGATATACACCCTATCCCTGTGCACTCATATTTAAGATGGTACTAAGTAGATTTTTTTTTTTCCTTTTCATTTTCAGAACTAAAGCACGGTCAAGATGTAGATCATATTACCTTCCAGAACGCCCACTTAAGTCACCAATTTTCTTCCACACACAAAGGCCAACTTGTATATTCAGGATGCAATTCTCAAAGACACCATACCTTAGATTTCAAGACTGGATATTTTCTTGACTTCTAAAAGACTGCACATAATGCAAATTCAATAATCTCCCCCCATGCCTCCCAAAATATCTGCAACTACTTTGTTTAAAAAGAGATAAACATTTTCTACTATGCTCCACTTTACACTGGGGAAAATTATTTTCAATACTTTGCACAGCTACTTTCTTTGCACTGGGGGAAATTATAATGCTTGCAGTTTTTTTCTTTTTAAAAGAATACGAATAGTACAAGGGGGAAACGTTTAACCCTTTTAACATTTTGACGTTCAAAATGAATAGGTCTTGCTATATTGAAAACTAAACAAAAGGAAACTAGACTTGAAGGAGGGTTGAAGACCCCTAGATTTTCCTCATAAAGAAAGTTAAAGAAATACATACCGCTACACTTGTTACAACAGCATCAAGAAAGCTCATCAGCATTACAGGTTATTCAAGAACGTACGAAGTAACACCTTTTAAAGATCCCTTCCATATAGAAGACATTCTGAACTGTATCACTTTGTTCCATATTTCAGTCAACCAGATTCAATGACATGTTCTTCATACGCAAAACCTTTAAGAACCCACCCAAAAGACTACTGCTTATAAAAGCGTGACTATTCTTACTGCCTTGGTCTGAACCACTGTATTGCGAACCTGGAAAATAATCTGAAGACACACTGGAGGTTAGCATACACCCCCACCCTCCTCCCGCATCATGATCCTAACCCCACAGTCATCCCATTGCAAACAGCATTACTATTAATACTGTAAAGGTTCTGGATATGAATTAAAGTGTGGTAAATAAAGAGAAGGGAGGAATTTAATATAAATGGGAAGTGAGATATTTAATGAATGTTAAATGCATTGGTGAAATCATGCTTATGCAAAAGAAAATAGTGGGGTGGGGGATGCTCATTTGTGACATCTAATTAATTATATACATGCTCGCCTTAAAATAAGAGGTTTTCCAATGAAGAGAGGGGCTGTTATAGAGGGAGCAGTACGGTTAGATACAATGCAGATAACAGACAGAAGTGCAGCACGATTGCCATTTTTTTTTTAAAACACATATGTAAATTAAAAATATGTATTATGAAAGCAACTGGTGTACTTTGGGGTAAGTATTTTGGACATGGTTTTGGAACGTAAGCCAGTATCTCCTTTGCATATGGCAATTAGGAGGTAGCATATGGTCAAGTGATTTGAAAGTGTTAATACGAAATATTAACCTATACAATATTGCACACTAGGAAAGACAAAAAGAGACACCAACCTCACACGTTAGTAGTTCAGAATTAAGTTTGCAGGATGCAAGACATCTGTATAGCCTCACCAATTACAAACAGCCTGTAAGATTGTCATTAAAGTCTTCTACCACTGTTTCACAACATCTCGATATCCATTTGTAAATCTGCAGGACAAAACTAGAGAATGGTCCTTTCCCTTCCCACAGCCCATGAAGGTGTCACACAACTAGCCTTTTCATACACAAACGTTTATATTCATTTGTATTCTTTGGCTCTAGCAAACCACTGTGCAGGAAAATAAGACACACAAAACATGCATGGGATTTTCCAGGTACTGATGAGAAATGTATATTCACTTGCCACTTATTTGAGGAGTAGTGCATTTTCGAGGGATATTCAAGATTTTTTCATTTCAATGATTTGTCAGATGCATCTGCAAAAGAATTAAAAAAAAAAAAAAAACCCCAATCCTTCCACAAACTGTACAACATTCAATTCACGTTGACATCTCACACTCATGGTTTACCAACAAGCTGTGATGGCTGGTGCTCATATACGGTATATCCGTGCCCATACATTAAGGAAGCCAGGAGACATTCCACTCACTACAGACAGTCTACGAGGGAGGTTCATGCACACATGGCACATTACCTGCTACAGAATCCAACCACTTTTCTCTTAAAAAAAAAAAGTCTGTAAAAAAAATAAAACTGGACAAGGTGCGGGATGCCTCATGCCCCTCCCAATACGTCGCTGAATGATGACCAAGATTTTATGTGCACGGGTTCACTTTACACAATGTTACATGCCAAAGCGCACCAACGTTTGCAAGCCTTATTCTTCTGATACATCCGAATACAAGATCTGCTTTAACTTTATCTCAGGTCGACTCTGGAAAAAAAGAGGCTAAAGGAGAGGAGAAAAAAAAAATGCCCCCATACCTTTTCAAAGAAGCGCTTAATGCACTGTACTTTGGTGCCACGAGTTCCATTTAAAGAACAAGGCTAAAAGTGTGAATATGTGCATGAAATGTTTACTTTCCCATAGTCACGCAATAACATTTTGAAATATTTTTTTATTCTGTAGTACTGAATATTGAAATCATTTGTATCACAATACAAACTGTAGTATACAGTAATGTGGCCTTTAGCTATGGGCAGTGCCTTGTTAGTGCAACCCATAAATAAACGCAAAGTACTTATTGGCCATTAAATATTTAAATTACACCCACTGCAAACTCTCTTAAAGTTGCTCCTCTGTCTGATGTCAAGACAAGATTATTTCTCACCAAGCTCAAAAGGAAATAACTTATGAATGCTGGTATATGCAGGCTGTCAACTTTAGACATGAAAGTGAATATTTCACTGCACAAAAGAGTAGATCACTTGCCAGGTTACATAATTTGCTATAGCAGTGTTATCCTTACTCCCAAAAGTTAGTTTCCTAAGAGAAAGAAAGAGGAAAAAACAAACAAAACACCAATATAAACCCCCTCCCACCCATTCACCAGCAGACCACAAATCATTAAGTTAATAGTCAAACTAAGCACATACAAATCAAAAGCCACAGTTAGAAAATGGCAATGAGATTTGAAAAAAAGGATAAAAAAAAAAAATTTCAACTATTATACATGAATAAGCATTAAAGCATCAGTCCTTCACAAGATGACATTTTTGTTAAATGAGAAAAAAAAAAAGGCCAACAAAATATTTAATATGAAACCCAGTGTAAGTGCCCAACAGCCTCGTGACTGAAATTAAACAGCACAGAAAAATAAGTAAGGAAAGATTAAAAATGCATAAGTATGAGAGAAGATTGTATTTAATGCATAGTATGCAAAGAGGTAGGTAATATGCACTCCATGAAAGCATGCAACCATAGCAATTACTTCACTTATCTGTTAAGAGGCGTAGTTTCCAAATGTAATAAAGAACTAGTCTTCTCTAATCTGCTTAGTATACCTGTCTGAGGTAAGTACAATAACGCACACGCACACACTGCTTCCTGGAAATCCCCGTTAATACCACTCGATCTCTTTTCCCCAATCAATTTAGAGACTTGGATCCACACGACACATTTTGTCATTACACTTCTTGGACGGAACTCTTAGAATTACATCAATCATGGAAGAAAGGTGATGGGATCTCCTATTTATTTGTTTATCATCAGGTATTAGCTCATTAATCTCTCCAATGTGACGTCTTAAATTATTTCAGTCTTTAAGCTGCAAATTGTTCATATTGACGTGGGTGTTCTGGATACACCTCACCTTTCAGAAACATCTACGCAAATATTTTCACTTCTATTCTTTGGTTGAAGAATATTAACTATTTCTTTCAGTCTTTTCATTATTGTGATTATGTATAAAATATATAAGGTATATTTCTTTAATTCATGATTCAACGGTTGATGGCACAGAAGGCACTTTGTATTAAATTAGATTACTTGCAAACATAGGTAATACTTGGAGAAGAAATAAGGGATGATTATTCTTTTTCCTCGTAACTTTTTTTTTTATGGTTAATCAAAGCGCAACAGGTTGGTACTTAAATCTGATGTTTTCTTTCCACTCTTTAAGGATTATCTATTATGCATCAATTTCCACTCATCCATTATTGGTACCTTTCACAATTTAGATTTTCAACTCCATATTACTGCATGTTTGGCTTGCTGCCATTTCAAAATGACGAATCTGAAAAGAGTGTAGAAGGAAAAAAAAATCCTCTACCCTACCCCAAACATATACAAGACACATTTTAGCTATGTTTAAGGGAGGATTTACTCAATTTAATGTGGGAGTTTAATACAAACATGCAGAATTACCATCACTGACATTTCTGTACTTTAAAAGTACCAGGTTATTATAAAAAAAAAAAAAAAAACCCAAACAAATAAAATTTACACAGACAAACATAATGGTTAAATTAAGCCAGTCAATCTATACATTCCGAAACACAGTGTTTAATAGGTTGAAAGGAAGCCTGGTGAGTTAACGATTAACACTCTCTCCATTAAAGACACATACTGACCGTTACGAAAGTTACAACTCAAGAGAAAGTTACGATAGAATTCTATCTAAATGTACAAATGTTATCATCAACAGACAAGTCCCATCCAATGTTACTTTCTTAAAAATTATTCACAATGAAATTATGTTGCAAGGCTAAAAAATGGTTACCCTAGTTTCACACAAATAAATTGAATGATCTTATGGGGTATATTTTGCTAAATGGGTATTTACTTGTTTTCTAGTGGACAAGTCTTTTCTCGGTATCCCTGAACAACAGTTGATTAAAGCTACCCCTCCTCCCCAAACTATTTACTACTACGTTGTGCCCTAGGGGCTATTTCTTACGTGGAAATGAATAAGTAGGAAGAAATCCACAGGACACGTAATCAGAGATACCTGTGCAAAACCTTTGAGTCCAATCTGATCGAAATCACTGCAGATGGTTTCTTTATAAATATCACTATTCAAGTCTGGAAAAATCTAGAAAAAACAAAGAGGTTTGACACCCGCCCCTTTCCCACCCACAAGAGTATGCCCTAAAAATAAGTATGTATCCCATACAAGTCAATTTATTGGAACTAATTCAGATGAACACACGATATGTCTTAAATATGTCTTAAATATTTGCGTACCAGATGGGCATGCAAAAAGTCGTCTACTTCACCCTTCTAGCAGAAGAGTTAAAAAAGGTATTCCTTAATTAAAAGACTTTACATTTAACATATTGGAAAGTCAAGTATTCTAGTGTGAATGTTAGAGAGAGAAAAAGTTAAAAAGGCAGTATGCCATAAGTCAACTAGTGTCACTATAGAAAAGTGATAAAACCACTAATTTCTACCCATTTGGGAAAAATGTAAAAGTCTTACCAAATGCCACCAGATGGCGCTGACTCTTCTGTTGTTCAGCTCACATACACCAACTTACAGAGGCTATCTAAACAGCTACGAATGGATATTCCAATCCTAGCTGGCTTACAGATCCACTCACAAGCCGTATAAGGACGCAAAACAGCATAAACCATCAGGAAAGATACCTAGAATAATCCTGCAAAACAAAAGCTACAAGAAACCATGTCGCTCCCTCCAACCAACCCCCAACTTCATCCTTAATTACAAACCTACTCGAATATTTGGTCCCACATACGTACGACTGGGCCGGCCATTATAACACAAGTATGCTTTCTCTAGGATTTCCGCATCCAAAGACTTAGACGCTTCTACCAACATCTACAGCATCTCCCATTCTGGGCTTTCCAATTGCCTTCTAGCTGAGCTGATTCCATTTGCTTTCTCTTTGGGATCGCTACCACCAATTCAGATTTTCAAAAGACTTGCTCTTTTCCCATCCTAGTTTCACCACCACTTCAGGCTTTCCTCCTTGCTCACGCTAGCTTCCATTCAATGGCGACGAAGTACAGATAACACACCATCTGGTACAGACACCAAACCTTTGGAAATTGCTAAAACCTTGACTTTAAGAGGGGGGATCCAAGAACTATAATCTGATATTCTCAAGTCCTTATAAATGATCTTCAAGTGATAAAATTATTACATATTTAAGGATGATGAATTGAGATATATATTTAGTTTTGCATCCTAGTAATTTAATTTTTTTTTTTTATGCTGTATTATCATTCATTTATTGTCCTCTATTATTGAAAGCTGCAAGTTCGATTGGTCTTCCTGCTTCTTAGTTCATTCTCTTCTAAATCTTCCTGCTTTGCCCAAGAAGGAAACACTACCTCCACGTCTAAAAATATCCTTCGCTATTTTCAGATTACTCTAGCTAATCCGGAACAGAAGCCCTTCTGTCTTAAATTCTAACTTCTTTCTTGATAGATTTCCTCAATGCAAAAAAAACAACAACTGATTTTCTATGCGCAAAGTAAATACTTTCTTGCATTTTCTCTACATAATCAATTTTATGTGCTTATGGCATGTACGCATGAGAGCATACAATTATCGCTTACTTTTAGTCTGCTTGCAAAGATGCTATATGTTGTAGAATTTTCACTGCATATGGCAGTAATTCTTTCTTCTAATTTGGATAAATATTACCTTTAGAAGGCGCAGTATGCTCTGCCTTTCAGTACTTCACTGGCCAGCTGTCAGTCTTGTTTTCTGGAAATTCTAGACTTCGGAATTTACCTTGTTTATTTTTAATCTTGTTCTTGCCTTCTGAATGTGCCTTTTCACAGCTCTCATCTTGAATCTTGTTCATGATTATCTGTTCTAGCATTCTGAATTTGCCTTGATTATTTTCCAATCGAGAATTTGGTTCATTTTAGTCTGTTCTAACCTTCTTAGCTTCCCTGGTCAATTTTCATTCTTGATTTTTTTTTTTCCCCATATATTAATATTTTCTAGGTTTCTAAATTCCTTCTCATGTTTCTTTCTTGTTCCTCCATATCCCTCTTAATCTGTTCTAAACTTCAAAATTTCCCTCGTCAATTTTCTTTTCTTGATTATATTTTTTTCCTGCAGGTTAATGTCTTCTAGTTTCTAAATTCTTTTTTCCTTCTTGTCCTCCACCCATTAAGCTAGCTTTTTTTTTCCTTTCTTCAATATCTTCAGCTTATTACGTGATTAGTTTCTAAATTCTTTTGTCCTTCTTGTCCTCCACCTGTTAAGCTAGTTTTTTTTTTTTTTTTCCTTTCTTCAATATCTTCGGCTTATTACAATTACGTGATATCTGTTTTCAGTAGGAAAAAATAAATTGCTAACACGCAATAATGTACACTTATTAACATCAACTAAAATCATTATTGGATTATTTTCCCTAACTATATCCTGAACATCCTATAGTAAAGATTATTTAGTTCCTATTTAAAAAAACAAAACAAAAATTTTTTATTCTAGATAAAATTTTGAAACACCCTGATCTTATTACACTAAACTATTAGATAAGCAATTTTTAAAGTAACTGCGATCCTATTCTGACTTTTAAATGTTAGAATTAATTTAACAAAAATAATTTACTCAGCTCCTTTTTTTTTTCTCCCTATGAAAAAAAATAAAATAATAATGAAATATCTAAGCCTGCAGTATAGCCCTAACCTAGTCTGCTCTTCCTACAGCTCTAACGATAAACAACTCCTTCTGTCCTTTTATATGCGCAGACTATGCACACTCTCATCTCCCAGGTATCCTTCCACACAGTGATGTCAAATGGGAGGTGGTTAAAAAAAAAAAGTCCCTCCAATAACAAACCAATAATTACAGTGTCATACAGGGAAAAAAAATAAAAAAATTAATCCAATAATTATGGTTTGTAATCTAACAAAAAAATGTTAACTATGCAATTCTGTTTGGAGATTCTCTTTAACTAAAGCACCATTAACTGATTGAGTGCCACAAAGCCAAGCTGGGTTTAGCTCCTTGGCACCTAAAGGGTTAATGTAGCATCAGGCACAAAATTATTATAATAATATAATACTTCACTAGTAGCAATATGAGAACAATACTATTTAATTATTTAGACTCACTAAAAAAAAAAAAAAAGCCTTTAACTGAGTTTATTTGTATGTTAAACTATCTAAATGTAAGGACAGTCGGTTTTCCCATTTAATAGAGTGTACTTTGGGTTTCTGTTTTGTTTTTTAATAAATTTATTCCAAGTTCCAGAAACATATTTCCACAAAAATCACTGCTGGACACGTCTTATGTATATAGTTCCGGCTCTGACGGCGGAGGGATAACACGGCGATCAGCCAACACACAGTGATGTTCTTACCCGTGCAGGCCTTATGGCGCAGCAGAAATTCGACTGGCGCAGTGAGCGAATGCGCATGCGCGGAGAACGGAGAGGTTAACTCACGGCCGCCGAAGTGCGCATGCGTAGCTTGGTGTTGCCAGCAGGTTCTGTGCAGACGTGCTGGGTGGGGGAGGGGGGAAGCTAATGTTGGTAAACTTTGAAGATTTACTTGGTGCCAAATAACTTTCAGTTACCCTTGTAAACTAGGCGTGCCTTCGTGTGATACAACAAGTGCCCTACTGTTTGATTAAACACATATAGTGCAGCTTCAACTGGAATTAATCCCTTCATTGCATGAGAGGGAGGAATATTCACTTATATCTTGGTATTCAGTGATTGGGGTTTATTATACTCATATATGGTGTCTCTCTAGTTGGCATTGAATTCATTGCATTATAACCATCAGCTTTAGGGGTGCTAAATCTCCCTTGATGCTTTTGCTAGCAGCTTCATAATAGAGGTTATAAGTATTGGGTTATTTACTAAGGTGTGGATTGTCAGGAATCCAAAGCAAAGCCAAATTACCAGTAAGGCAGCCGCCTAGGGCCCATGCTCAGACAGGAGTGGCTGGGCTGCTCTCTGGGCATGGAGTTCTGCATGTAAGGGGGTCGCTTTCTGGGCCTGGAGTTCTGCATGTAAGGGGGCCGCTCTCTGGGCCTGGAGCTCTGCATGTAAGGGGGCCGCTCTCTGAGCCTGGAGCTCTGCATGTAAGGGGGCCGCTCTCTGAGCCTGGAGCTCTGCATGTTAGGGGGCCGCTCTCTGGGCCTGGAGCTCTGCATGTTAGGGGGCCGCTCTCTGGGCCTGGAGCTCTGCATGTTAGGGGGCCGCTCTCTGGGCCTGGAGCTCTGCATGTAAGGGGGCCGCTCTCTGGGCCTGGAGCTCTGCATGTGAGGGGGCTGCTCTCTGGGCCTGGAGATCTGCATGTAAGGGGGCTGCTCTCTGGGCCTGGAGCTCTGCATGTAAGGGGGCTGCTCTCTGGGCCTGGAGCTCTGCATGTAAGGGGGCTGCTCTCTGGGCCTGGAGCTCTGCATGTGATGGGCTGCTCTCTGGGCCTGGAGCTCTGCATGTGATGGGCCGCTCTCTGGGCCTGGAGCTCTGCATGTGATGGGCTGTTCTCTGGGCCTGGAGCTCTGCATGTGTCGGGCTATTCTCTGGGCCTGGAGCTCTGCATGTAAGGGGGGCGCTCTGTGGGCCTGGAGCTCTGCATGTTAGTGGCCGCTCTTTGGGCCTGGAGCTCTGCATGTGAGGGACCGCTCTGTGGGCCTGGAGCTCTGCATGTGAGGGATCGCTCTCTGGGCCTTGAGATCTGCATGTGAGGGACCGCTCTGTGGGCCTGGAGCTCTGCATGTGAGGGATCGCTCTCTGGGCCTTGAGCTCTGCATGTGAGGGACCGCTCTCTGGGCCTGGAGCTCTGCATGTGAGGGACCACTCTCTGGGCCTGGAGCTCTGCATGTGAGGGACCGCTCTCCGGGCCTGGAGCTCTTCATGTGATTGTCCCCCTCTCTGGGCCTGAAGCTCTGCATGCGATCGTCCCCCTCTCTGGGCCTGGAGCTCTGCAAGCGATCGTCCCCCTCTCTGGGCCTGGAGCTCTGCAAGCGATCGTCCCCCTCTCTGGGCCTGGAGCTCTGCATGCGATCGTCCCCCTCTCTAGGCCTGGAGCTCTGCATGCGATCGTCCCCCTCTCTGGGCCTGGAGCTCTGCATTTGATTGTCCCCCTCTCTGGTCCTAGAGCTCTGTACGTGAGGGCCCCCTCATTGGGCCTGGAGCTCTGCATGTGACTGGCCCCTCTCTAGATCAATAGATAACCCTGCTTAGTCCTGTCCGACTCACTTGAGAGGGTATATTGGTCTGCACCTCTATTGGATAGAGGCCAATTTAAAATCTTCCTCACAGTCCCTTGGCTTTTCTCTGTGACTCGGAGTGCCACAGACAATGCTCTTTGTCCTTAAAGGGACACTCTATACCCCCTTGCTGAAGTGTTTATGTGTGAAGAGTGTGTTTTTTTCTTTTTTCCATTTTACAAAAGGTGCAGTTTTCAATAGAAAATGGCACTTTTGTGTCTTATAAATTCTAAAATGCCACAAGGTAAGCAGGAGGGGGACAAACAGAAAACACCTTCCACCACAACATTCAAAAACCACACAACCTAGTCTGCTCCTACCCCACACATAACATTTAGACTCCTTAATATGAAATTCAGCCACTCGTCATACAACACTCAACCAGCACACACATGTGAACTCAGCTTCTCCCACACACAACACTCTGTCTCCCTCACATAAATAGAACAGTCAACCATCACACAAACAACACTAAGCGAAAAGAACCCAGGGAACTAGGAGGGGCTCGATGTTGTGCATTATATCTAGTACCTTGTAAAACATTAATTTGGCTCTGATTCAAAGAGAATGTTAAAGGTAAACTCTGTGCACCTAAATCCATTTAGCTTGTGGAACTAAACTCAAAGTACCTACCATGCAAAGACTTCTCACTGAGCTGCATTGGGACGTCTATGATTGGACAGCCACAGAAAGTATGAGCTGGGGAAGAAGAAAGGGGTTTGGAAAGGCTGACAGGATCTGCAGCTTGTGCAAGCTGTTTTTAGATATACCCACACTAAGAAAAAAAAAGCATAATTACCAGGGCTCGAGTCCTGCAGGAACGCATGGGAACGGCGTTCCTGCACTTTTTCCATAGCAGGAACGCCGTTCCCGCTAGTGATCCTGCAGCACCGGCCCTGCTCCCTGCACAGAGGGGCCAGCACACGCTGTGTTCCTTCTCCAGCTCTAACTCTCGCGAGACCCGCGGCTGTTACCATGGCAACGCTCCGCACAGGCGAGTCTCGCGAGAGTTAGAGCTGGAGAGGGAACACTGCGTGTGATGGCCCCTCTGTGCAGCGGCTGCCTCCCTCCAGCATACCACCGGACCACCAGGCGATCTCCCCCCTCCCTGACAAGGTAAGAAGCAGGGAGGGGGGGATAAAATAAAAAAATATAGACACATAAAGTTAAAAAAAATGCTCCCCCCACACCCATCATCCAGCACTCACACACCCATCATCCAGCACTCACACACCCATCATCCAGCACACACACCCATCATCCAGCACACACACATCACACACACACATCATCCAGCACTCACACACACATCTCACACACCCATCATCCAGCACTCACTCACACCCATCATCCAGCACACACACACCCATCATCCAGCACACACACACATCATCCAGCACTCACTCACACATCATCCAGCACTCACACACACATCATCCAGCACTCACACAAACACCCATCATCCAGCACACACACACACATCATCCAGCACACACACACAAATCATCCATCACTCACACACCCATCATCCAGTACTCACACACACATCATCCAGCACACACACACCCATCATCCAGCACTCACACACCCATCATCCAGCACTCACACACCCATCATCCAGCACACACACACACATCATCCAGCACACGCACACACGTCATCCAGCACTCGCACACACGTCATCCAGCACTCGCACACACGTCATCCAGCACTCGCACACACGTCATCCAGCACTCACACACACGTCATCCAGCACACACACACACACATAATCCAGCACACACACACACATCATCCAGCACACACACAATCATCCAGCACACACACAATCATCCAGCACACACACACACATCATCCAGCACACACACACACACATCATCCAGCACACGCACACACATCATCCAGCACTCGCACACACGTCATCCAGCGCGCACACGCACACACTGCATTCATTATACACACTCTTCACTCACTACAAACACACTACATTCACTATACACCCTCTGCATTCACTATACACACTCTGCATTTATTATGCACATTCTGCACTCACTACACACTACATTCACTATACACACTCTGCATTCACTACAAACACACTGCATTCAGTGTACACACTCTGCACTCACTAAAACACACTGCATTCATTATACACACTCTGCATTCACTACAAACACACTACATTCATTATACACACCCTGCACTGCACTATATGCATAGGAGTGTAATTTTATTTTTTTTAAAGGGGGGGGGGAGGCGGCGGGAATCTTGGGTGAGTTCCCACACTTTTTTCCCCAGGACTTGACCCCTGATAATTACACGCATTCATGTTTTAATTGGGGGTATAGCTACTCAGTTGTTATTTTTTTTCCCTTTTGGAGGGCTCCTTTAAAGTCTAGTTCAAAATAGCCAAATTCGAAACAAAGTTGATGTAGAAAAGTTTCACAGTTTGGCTATTTGGCTGCAATCTAAAATTCACATTGAAATCC